CAATATGTGAAAGAGGATTTGACCCCAAATGATGTTGTTTTTGAAGTACCCCGTGATTCTTCTGAAATGACTGAGAATACTCCTACTTCTCTTTTTTGTTCCTTTTTTGCAAACGAACTATTTGAAAGGATCACAGATGGAACGAATCGATATGCCTCACAGAAGAATCAATCCTCACAAGTGAATGTAACTGAAATGAAATCATTCATTGTAATACTTCTCCTCTGTGGATTCATTCCAGTACCCAGAAGAAGAATGTATTGGGGACGTTCAAAAGATTCCAACAATGTACTGGTTCCTGAAGCCATTTCCAGAAACAAATTCGAATTTATCATGTCCAACATTCATTGTCAGGACAACAACTTTTTAGATCAGTCTGATAAATTCGCCAAGGTCAGACCGCTTTTCACGTATCTGAATGAAGAGTTCATGAAATATGCATAAACTGAAGAAGAGCATAGCATAGATGAAGCTATGGTTCCGTATACAGGACGGCATGGTTGTAAACAGTACATCCATGGCAAACCAATACGCCATGGTTTCAAGCTATGGGTAGGTATACAGGACGGCATGGTTATGAACAGTACATCCATGGCAAACCAATACGCTATGGTTTCAAGCTATGGGTAGGTACGACACAACAAGGCTATATAAATTGGTTCGAGCCCTACCAAGGAGCTTCCACCAACATGAGTGTAACATATAAATACCTCGGTGTAGTAACGTCTGTTGGACTTGAATACGCCGATGTTCTGAGATCGAAATGGAAGGATCTGAGGTTCCATTTGTTTTTCGATAATTTCTTTTCCTCTGTCGTTCTGCTGGAAAACCTTATTGAAAAAAATATGTACGGTACCGTAACTATAAGAGGAAATCGTATTCCTGGTAGTACCTCGCGTGATTTCAAGAGCATGAAGGAATCTGAACGTGGCAGTTATGACTTTGTGGGAATCAAAGATAGCCAAATTATTTTTTAAAAATGAAATGATAATAATATCGTCACGATTTGCTCAAATGCTAGTGGAGTGACTCTTCTAAGCTCAGTGAAACGATATTTCCAAAAAGAGTAGAAATTCATTCGAGTCGAGCAACCTGGTGTTGTAAAATTATATAACAGAAGTATGGGAGGAGTCGATCATTCAGATCAAAATATAAGTTTTTATCGCATCGCTGTACGAGGAGAGAAATGGTATTTTTCCCTCATAGCCCACTGTGTGGATATGGCGGTACATAATGCCTGGCAGATCCATAAATATAATGAAGGATTGATGGACCAATTATCTTTCAGAAGAAGTATTGCCACTACTCTATGTTACGGTTTCAATTTCATTTTCAACAACAACAATCAAATCTTAATTAATCAAACAATAAATCACCTTAGAATCATTTATTGCCTGAATATAGTTCGCACAGCCTGAGAAAAACATACCAACAAAAATATTAATCATTGTTCTATGAGCTCTGAACGACAAGAACTATCACAGAAGCACTCTACATTTATCAGACGGAGGTCGTGGTAGGTTTCCTTGATGATTTTCTCAGTTTCTATCAACTCTCTTGATCATCTTGTGCAGGATAGCCCATATATCAGAAGTCGAGAACCAACCTAAAACATGAAGATACTTCATTAATATCGACTCTACAATATAGGAATTATTAAGAAATATACTAATACATATCAGAAACCCACCTGAGGTCTATCCACTCCTAGTCTTCTGAAATCGAGTTCAAGTTTGATGTAGATATTATTTAGGTCATCGTAAAAATTGTAAACAGTCGAAAATCAACATTGCGTTAGTATAACCTCGCAGGTCTTGAGACATCTCATACAACCAACATACAATAACCAACTTCTCACTCCTCCATTCGCAGCCACCGATGTTGACCGACAGCTCGATCACAAACTTCGGGCGGGACGAACTGACGGACGGAACCTCAGATCATAACGAGCGGAGGCGTGACATTTCGACTCTCGGGCCGTACTTCGAATGAACCAGGACCGCACGTAGGCAGAACTCTATCTCTGTCTCCTTGTCTGCAGCATTGGACTCTGGAGGACGGATATATACATAGTCAAATGAAGAGTACCTACTCTAGGGTGGAAAAGTTGGTCAGATCTAGGTTATATCTTTATTAATTACGATTTTCGCGGTAAAATCGACGGGAACCGAAGAATATCGGCCGACATCTTGCCATCAGGCATTCACACCTTGGCATCACGAGGAGAACTTTTGCTTTCAGAGCAATTCCTCTATTCAATTTAAAAAAAAAGGCCGAACAACATCTAAGGTATGTAATATCAAAAATCACATTAAAATATCAAACTAATAATTCCATCTTCAATCTCGGCTCAATTCTTGGTCTTGCGCCCCCACGTGGCTGATAAGTTGTAATTTTCAGGCCTTCTAGTACCTCTCTGAGATCCGAGAACATTCGATACCATACACCATACAATGAAAGAATTCGATTCATGAGTAGTTCTGAAGAGTAGGCGACATTCACCTGAGCCCTTCTCCATTTCACGTCGAGAGAGCACACTCGTGGCCCCCATTACACCTTCGGTACTCCAACAGGCTTTAACGACATCGAGGCCACCCTGAAGTCTCGACTGCTGCACTCCAGGTATCATAGGGGTCTCAAACGTACCTCGCACTACCAGTACCATCAGGTAACGTTAAATGTAAGATGAGGACCTCGCCCAGCGCCACATCAGGTCCCAACAGTGGCAGTTAACGTTCCTGAGGTTGGTCACCCAGGCACTACAACTTCACCACAATATTATTTTTATGGAAACTAGAAAGCTCGTTGTACTGTACAAATTCGTGTGATGCCTATATTTGTTATTTTCGTTATAATCGTTGGTTTTTGTATTGGTTTATACCTCTGCCTCCACTATCTCCTTGTACCTACACCTTGGATGATAAACCTGTGAACTTCCAGTAGCGCTACTGAGGGGCCCCATATGACTAGTAAAATAACGATTGTCAGGTGGTAGGACAGGTAAACTTATACATATATACCTTGTTTGTTTTTAAAGTCCTTATTGTTTATTTTTACCATTGATCTTTATACATTCATGCACTCACTATAATCTGCACATTTATAGGTGGTATATTGGTATATGCACTGGTTGATATTTCCAAATGTCAAGTATTCCACACAAGATAATGCTGTGTTGATCATTTAGTTCGTTGAGTATCAAGTAGTAGGCAGGACCATTACTTTGGTGAACTAAAATTTTGTGATAATAGTGTCTTATGCCAGTTGCATTAGTACTGATGAACTAAGATTTTGTGATAATATCCTGGTAATTTACTGGTTAGTTACTAGATAGTTGTTGAAATAAGATAATAAAATGAGATATTAATCTTGTGATAATATTTCATCAGTTGAAACGGTTAGTTAATATCAGTTATTTATTTCTTATATAGTAGGGTCTCTTGATGGACTAACATTTTGTGATAATAAGGATAAGGAATCAATCTTTGCAGTTTAGTACACAAGTTATTATTAAAGATTCATCTTACTAGGTGCCTTGTACTATCAATTACTTATATATTATATGTTTACTATTATTTTATATTTCCATAATATATTTGTCATATGATACACCAGCTAGTATCATTTCATGCGAGTTTGTCATACCAAGGTTTACTATACAGGGTGAGCATTCCACTCCCAATCTACACTGAGCTAGCCAACCTCTAAACATATAGGTATAACTTATGACAAATTTGGCATGAGTCACCCCGAATCGCCACAGATTTCAATCTGAACGTGGCAAACTGGCGCCCAAACGTGTTTTGGCATCGTGTGAGTGATTTGGTAGTATATAGGTACTTTATTTTTGTGTTGGATATAGATACTTGGAGATATCAACCATATTATTTTTTTTTCCAAATTGTACCTTGGTGCAGCGGTTTAGTAGGTGCTTACAGAATCCCTGAATAGTTGATAAATCATAAGGCAACATTATATTTGGTATGTTCCTGTAGTCCTGTGATATTTTTTTACTGAAACAGGTATTGTGGTTTCATTGGAAGTTTACCAAATTGATTTTCCTTTTGTAATTGATTTTATTATTCCAGCCATAAACATATATATTTTTCCTCACATCTGAAAACTCATTTTTCATGAAAACATACCATACTTGATATACAGGGTGACACATTTTTTTTTATATGGTATAGTATACAGGGTGTCACAAACTTATACCGGTAAATATATGTTCGTGGGTTCGATCATTTAGACCTGACACAGGGTTGACTGTATGAAAGTGTTTGGTGAAATCAAAATAAGCTACAGGGTGGCACTGGTGCAACTTTTTTTTTACTTTTTCGCTAATTATCATTAGTCTATAGGAATTATCAATTTTTCTGGACGCATGTTTTAGAGAGAGAAAAAAAAATTTTTTTTTTTTAGCTGAAAGGCTTTCTTGAAGTATAAGCATTAAAAAAAAAAAAATTGTCTCTGATATAACATTGCTTGCTGGATTGGAAGAACATAGTGGAAACCAATTTCAATTGTTTTTTTGTCATTTTATGATTTCATATACAGGGCGAACTGAATTTAGGAGGTAAATACCACATACAGGGTGGACACAATTTGGAAGGTGTACACTATATACAGGGTGGACCGTATGTACAGGGTGGTCTCGATTGTTGTTGTGGTTGGGTACAGCACGCGTTTTCTACCTTGAGACCGGATTCTTTTTTTTTTTTTTGGAAAAAAAATTTTTGTAAGGGGGGTGTGCACTTCGTGCAACTTCTTCAGTAATTCTTTTTTTTTCCTCCCTCGATATTTTTTTTGTATATTGCTCGTTCCCTTGAGTCCCAAGGCTAGACATAGACGTCCTCAAACTCAGAAAAATAAATCCATTTCGACTTTGAAATTAAGCATTTTGAAATAGTTTAGAGAATTCATTTTCCAACTTAATCCTCGATTATCATTGTTATATTGAAAGACATGGCGGAACATAATTCGACTCTCAACGTTAATAGGGACGATTTATTGAGTAGATGTGCTGAATTAGCTGAAGTTCTGAATTCTACACTCTCGAACTATGGCTACTATTCTGGTACTCCCCAACGTACTCTTGTTAGGAACGCGAACAACGACCAAATCGGTCAAAATTGTAGTAGACAGTATGACCCCGCTTCTTCATCAAACCTCATGGATGAGCCCATCCCACACATAGCATATCAGCCTACAATTTCACCTCATGTCGCAACTTCTATCCCTACGGCCGACTTGATTGACTTAACAGAAGTACCAAGCCAACCAACTCAGGCTTATTCAGGAGAAACTCGTTTTGATAAAAATTATTGCCCTCCAAACCAGAACTTACCGCGCGAGAACTTGAACTTTGCGAATGGGTCAAGACCCACCTATCACACTGAGGAAGCTTACCCTCGGGTTCCTTACCCCTCAACATCAGAGCCTACTGCAAGTACTCATCTTCGATTCAACAATGTTAACGAACCTAATACGTCGGAACCACGAATGAATGACTTAGCTCGACTCGTGGACTTGAGTTCTAATTTAGCGCGTGAATTACAAAATCTCAAACTCTCCCCAGCTGGACAAGCAAATCTCCAGAATAATTTTGATCCGATTGATCCGAAAAATATTTCGAAAATGGAAGATGTCAGCAAATGGAACTTGAACTTCAATGGAAGATCGAGTCTGATTAACTTTCTCGAGCAGGTTGAAGAACGTCGCGTATCACGTGGTATCTCGAAAGATAGTTTATATTAAGCAGCATCCGAGCTATTTTCTGGCGACGCGTTGATTTGGTATCGTGCGGTTCGCCATTCAATATTTTCGTGGAGTGAGCTGGTTAGGCAACTCAAATTAAATTTTTTGCCCTATGATTACGAGAGTTATATTTGGGACGAAATTCGAAGGCGGACTCAAGGTCAATTCGAGAAAGTCGTGGTTTATGTTGCTTCAATGGAAAACCTATTTAATCGTTTAACGGAAAAGTGTAGTGAGGAAAAACGTCTTAGTATGATCCGTCGGAATCTACTTCCCCATATTCAGGAAAAATTGGCATTGCAATCTATATCGAGTATAGATGAACTGGTTAGGTTAGTTCGAACAATCGAAGAAGTCGAAAGTCGTTCACAGCAATATTGCCCTCCCCCAACCAATTATAGGAATTTATTGGAACCTCAATTAGCATACCATAAACCAAACTCTGCGCCAAAGGTTGATCTGATCGATCACCCAATCATCCCCGAAGCAGGACACCCTTCTTCCACTGTCACTGACCCCATTGTCATGCCGATCAACAGTAATTCCCCAATGGTTTGCTGGAATTGCGGTCGCTCGGACCATAAATTTAGGAAATGTAGAGCCCCTCGGAAAAACATGTTCTGTTTCAAATGCGGCCAGCGTGATGTAACCGCTGCACAGTGCCCTGCGTGCCGGTCAAAAAACCAGAGCACAAGTCACCAGTAAGCCGGGTGGATGACTTTGGGACAGAGGATGTTCCGGCTATTGAGGAGTCGATCGATTTCCTCCTCCATCATGCTAAGGGTGATAAGAGACCCTATCTTAGTGTGACCATCTATGGCCTTGAGTTTTTGGGTTTGCTTGATTCTGGTGCTTCATGCACCATACTTGGTCGTCCGGGATGGGATGCAATAAAGAGTGTTTGCCAACTCCGTCCTAACAAGTCGCTTGTTTCAACTGCCAATGGTCAATCATGTTCATCGATAGGTTCAGTTTCGGTTCCAATTCAACTTAGGAATAAAATCAAAATTTTCGAAATTCTAGTTATTCCTGATATACCACACAAGCTCGTGCTAGGCGCAGATTTTTGGGCAGCTATGGGTATCATTCCTGATCTTCGCTCTGATGAATGGTCCTTTCATGAAGATATCAACAACTCTCCACAGGTTTGTGCAATCCAGTCATACGATCATCTTGACCATGACCAGCAGAGTAAACTAGAGGAAATGGTTCAGGAAGTGTTCACTGAAATGGGAGATAAATTAGGCTGTACTTCTCTAGTAGAGCACGTCATCAAGACGGATCACTCTCCTATAAAACAGAGGCACTATCCTTTTTCACCAGCACTCCTTGAACAAGTTGATAAAGAACTGAAAGAAATGTTAGATAATCATATAATCGAACCTTCTTCTTCCCCTTGGTCTTCTCCAATTGTCATGGTGAAGAAGAAAAATGATCAGTACCGATTTTGCGTGGATTATCGACGGCTTAACAAGGTTAGCAATCCAGATGCGTATCCGATACCATTTGTTGGTAGTACTCTAGATAAACTCCGGGACGCAAAATATTTAACAACTTTGGACATTAAATCAGCATACTGGCAAGTACCTGTTGCAGAGGCTTCACGACCACTGACAGCATTCACAGTTCCTGGACGGGGCCTCTACCAATTTAGGAGGATGCCATTTGGGCTACACTCGGCGCCTGCGACCTGGCAACGACTCATGGACCGCATTGTCGGGGCCGACCTGGAACCGTTTTGTTTCGTCATCCTGGATGACGTGATAATTTGCACACCAACTTTTGAAAAGCACTTGGAGGTTCTAAAGGAGGTTTTGTCACGTATTACGGTAGCTGGTCTCACTCTCAGTCGCGACAAATGCAACTTCTGTAGGTCGGAACTACGATATCTAGGCTATGTGGTGAATCCTTCTGGGTTACTCGTTGACCCAGAGAAGGTCGAAGCCATCTTGAAAATTTCTTCGCTCCGAAACGTTTCTGAGGTACGCAGAGTGGTTGGGTTGGCTTCATGGTATCGGCGGTTTGTACCCAATTTTTCTACCTTGATAGCTCCTATGACGTCTCTCCTGAAGAAGGGCCAGACCTTCGTCTGGGGAAGTGAGTGCGAGGCAGCATTAAATCGAGTGAAGGAACATCTCGTGTCAGCACCAATTCTCTCTTGTCCTAATTTTGAACTCCCTTTCGTTGTTCAAACTGATGCTTCCGATTATGGTCTCGGCGCAGTACTTTCACAGGTCCATGAAGATGGCGAGAAAGTGGTCTGCTATCTGAGTAGATCCCTCACAAAGGCTGAACGAAAATATAGCACCACCGAGAAGGAATGTCTAGCGGTAATATTTGCAATCGAAAAATTACGACCGTATCTTGAGGGTACAAAATTCACCGTCCTAACAGACCACTACAGCCTGAAGTGGATACATAACATAAAGGACCCTGTGGGGCGTATCGCTCGCTGGGCACTTAGGCTGCAACAGTACGACTACGACATTTTACATCGTCCTGGTCGAGAACAGGTGGTGTCTGATGCTCTCTCCCGAGCGGTCCCTGCGATTGACTTAATCGATCCCCCAGTAGACGTAGTCCCCGAGGTGAAGGATAAATGGTATTCGGCGATGGTCAAAAGAGTAGTCGGTGCACCAGACAATTACCCACTCTGGATGGTCGAAAACGGTGTCTTGTACAAACATATCAAACCTCCATATCCGGATTTATCTGATCCTTCGGACGACTGGAAGAAAGTAATCCCCAAGGAAGATCGTAAAGACCTAATTAAATCTCACCATGATCCTCCAACTTGTGGTCATTTAGGTATCTTCAAAACCCTTGGACGGTTATCTTCTAAGTTTTACTGGCCGAAGATGCGAGATGATATCGCGAGGTACATTCGTCATTGCACTGTTTGTCTCAGTACCAAGCCCGAACAGAAAGCACCAGCAGGTCAGATGTTGAGTTCCACTCCAACTGTCTCTAAACCGTGGGAACTGGTTAGTGCGGACCTAGTAGGACCACTACCAAGAACGTCAGCAGGATACGCCTATATTTTCTCTGTGGCAGATTGTTTCAGTAAATTTACCCTCCTATTTCCTCTCAGGACCGCCTCGGCGGCTAGTATTGTTCGGCATTTGGAAGATGATGTGATCCTCAGGTTTGGTGCTCCTAAAAGACTTATCGTAGATAATGGTACCCAATTTCGGAGTCATACATTTAAAGATGTAACAGACAGTTATGATATTGAAGTAGTCCATACCGCTAACTACCACCCACAGGCTAACCCGGTTGAGCGGATCCATAGGGTCATAAAGACCATGTTGACGGCGTATGTAGGGGACAACCACAAAACGTGGGATAAATACCTTCCGAAGGTAGTATGTGCCATTAATTCCGCGCGCCACGAGGCCACCGGTATGACACCTAATTTCATAAATTTTGGGCGAGAGATAAGTTTTTCAGGAAAATCGGATATACCACTGGATGGCGACATAGATATTCAACGTGATGACTCAGAGATTATTGTGCGATCTGAATCATTGGTGAAGGTCTTCAAGGATGTGAAGAGAAGGTTAGCTAACGCCTATGAGCGTAGTCGTACCAACTATAACCTTCGGAGAAGGAATGATAAGTTCAATGTAGATCAGAAGGTCTGGCTGAAAACGCACGTTTTGTCCGACAAGAGTCGGGATTTCACGTCAAAATTAGCTCCTAGGTTTTCTGGCCCATATGTTATCACAAAAGTTTTGTCGCCATGGACTTATCGATTATCAGACTCCCAACGCGGTACGGATGCAGGCACTTGGCATGCCAAGGATTTGAAACCTCATCCCTCGGACTAAAACATTTAGTCGAGATTTTTTTTTTCTCTTTCTTCATTTTAGTTTCTCCGGAAAGGAAGTTATTTGGACGGTATTTTTCCGTGTTTAGGCTTTTCTATGCACTTGGCATAGGGTTAGTATATTTTAGTATGTATGCATACTGTTTTCTTGTTAAAGGTCAAGTATTTTAGAATTTTCTATCATAGATAGTAGTTATATTTATTACGGTTATATACGGATTATCATTAGAGAAAGTTTCGGGGAAACTTTTTTTTTTAGTAGGGGGGGTGTGTTACGGTTTCAATTTTATTTTCAACAACAACAATCAAATCTTAATTAATCAAACAATAAATCACCTTAGAATCATTTATTGCCTGAATATAGTTCGCACAGCCTGAGAAAAACATACCAACGAAAATATTAATCATTGTTCTATGAGCTCTGAACGACAAGAACTATCACAGAAGCACTCTACATTTATCAGACGGAGGTCGTGGTAGGTTTCCTTGATGGTTTCCTCAGTTTCTATCAACTCTCTTGATCATCTTGTGCAGGATAGCCCATATATCAGAAGTCGAGAACCAACCTAAAACATGAAGATACTTCATTAATATCGACTCTACAATATAGGAATTATTAAGAAATATACTAATACATATCAGAAACCCACCTGAGGTCTATCCACTCCTAGTCTTCTGAAATCGAGTTCAAGTTTGATGTAGATATTATTTAGGTCATCGTAAAAATTGTAAACAGTCGAAAATCAACATTGCGTTAGTATAACCTCGCAGGTCTTGAGACATCTCATACAACCAACATACAATAACCAACTTCTCACTCCTCCATTCGCAGCCACCGATGTTGACCGACAGCTCGATCACAA